GCCTAGGGGGCAGCGCCTGGGGCTGGGGGGGCAGTGCCTGGGGCTGGGGGCGCACCGAGTTTCTGGCTTCTCTGGGCTGCAGGCCCAGCCCCTGGGCTGAGGGTGGTAATGCGGAGCTGCTGAATAAAGCAGTGGCAGGGAAGGAACACAAGAGCTTCTGTTTATCTACTCAGAGCGCTGCAGGCTCCAGGTTCGTCCATTTGGTTCACTCCATGAATTGTCCAAAACGTGTGCGCAGACAAAAGGCAAGCTATTTACCTTCCTCTGAAATACACCACCAAGTACATTCCAACCTTTCCAAACTCCTTCCTTTCTCTCCCTCTTCCTAGAGCTATCCCTCCGAGCACCGCCTCCTTCCACTTGCTGTGACACGTACTCTTCCCCAAACCTCCCATTCAGCTCCTTGCACTGATTCTCCTCTTCTTCCATCTCTCTTTTAGGACTCGTTCTCCTAAAAAGACATTTCACCCTCCACAAGCAGGGCGGTCAACAGAGTGAAGGGAGAGAGACACTGGGCTTTGCTCCCCAGGGATGCTCACAGACCTAACTGCTCCCCACACTCACCCCTCCTAGGGCTCCCCGCCGCTGTGGATCTGCTGGTGCCGGAGGAGCGCAGACCTCACAGTGAAGCGCTTCCCGCAGTCGGCACAGGCATAGGGACGCTCCCCGGTGTGGATGCGCCGGTGCTGGATGAGGTGGGCGCTCTGCCGAAAGCTGTCCCCGCAGTCAGCGCAGGCGTAGGGCCTCTCCCCTGTGTGGACCCGGTGGTGCCGGAGCAGGGCTGATCTCCACAGGAAGCTCTTCCCACACTCGCTGCACTCGAAGGGGCGCTCCCCTGTGTGGAAGCGGCGGTGCTGAATGAGGTGGGAGCTCACGGTGAAGCTCTTTCCACATTCGGTGCATCCGTAGGGGCGTTCACCCATGTGGAGCCGCCGGTGTTGGATGAGGGCTGAGCTCACGGCGAAGCTCTTCCCACACTCGGAGCACTCATACGGCTTCTCCCCGGTGTGGACCCGCTGGTGTCGCGTCAGGGCTGAGCTCACGCTGAAGCTTTTCCCGCAGACGCAGCACTCGTAGGGTTTCTCCCCGGTGTGCACTCGCTGGTGCTGGATGAGCTGTGCATTCCCGGAGAAGCTCTTCCCGCACTCGGCACACCTGTAGGGCTTCTCCCCAGTGTGGGTTACCTGGTGCCGGATCAGCCTCGAGCTCATGCTGAAGCTCTTCCCGCACTCGGAGCATTCGTAGGGCCTCTCCCCTGTGTGGATTCTCTGGTGCTGGATGAGATGCGACCGCTGACGGAAGCTCTCCCCACACTCGGCACAGCCAAAGGGTTTCTCTCCAGTGTGGATTCTCCGATGCTGGATGAGGTTGGAGCTCACCCGGAAGCTCTTCCCACAGTCCCCACATATCGTCAGTCTCCTCACAGAAGGATTTCTCTGCTGGATAATATCTGGCAGCCTCCTGAAACTTTTTCCATGTAGTGTCACTCGGCTTTGCCTCTTCCCCAGAGGTCTCTGAACCCTTTCTGACCTGTGTGAGAGGACTGGGTCCTGTGCAGGACTCTGGGAACTGTTCTCATTGGGGAATCCTGAGAGTAAACCCTCGGACTCCACCGGCCCAGGGGTGCCTTGATGGGCATCTTCCTCTTTCTTGTTCACAATCCCATCTTCAGCTGCAAGAAAATGAGAATCCAGAGAGGAGTCACAGGCAGGACAGGAAACTTTGGACAGGGGAAATCAAAAAGGGGCCAAATTCTAAAAATTCAGCAGATTGACTAAGATCTGATGTTTCCCTCCAAACTACTCAGTGGATTTCAGAGAAACAAACCCCGGAAATAGCCCTGCATGTTCTCACAGAACCTGAACCTACTGAAAATTACTGGCATATTAGAGATAAAAGTGTAGTGCTTGGATGGCGAAGGCGGCTGCTCTCCCGGGATACTGTATTTGAAAAGGGTATTAAGAGTTGAACCAGGAGGCAGAGGAGGTGGTAAGGAACTGCCTTGTCCAGCAGGATGTTTCTTGGGTTGCAGCAGATGCAACCTCCCTGCTCCTGTGCCGCGAGTATTGCGGGGAGAGGAGGCGAACAGAGGAGACCCTGGCCCTAAGGCATGACAGAGACCACAGGGGCCTGGCTTATGCCAATCTTAGGGCACAAGAAAGGTAACTTTATGCTTCTGTTGGTGCAGAACAAATCTGTTGTGAAAGGTGGTTGGTGAACTGAAGATCCTCCATGGCCGATTCCGGACTATGCGCTGAGGAAATCCGATAGACACAGATGTGGGTAGTGCAAGTCAGTGGCAGTAACACTAGCTGAACAGCTATGAATGGCTCCTGGGACACAGGCAGTGAACAAATCCCTGCCCTCTTATTCACATAAAGTCTTGCAGGAGCATAAACGGTATGGATCTGTGCTGCGCAGACTCAAGGTCAGCTGAAAGCCTTTCCAAGACAAGGCACTTGCATAGATTTCTAGAGTATTTACGCAGAGCAGTGACTCCTTCCAGCTCCTAATGTGGCTTGCTGAGCATGCCGGCAGGTTCAGACGCATGTACCCCCACCGATGCTGCGGCATTTGCTGTCAGCAGGGAAGCGGAGCTCCTTGCAGGCTTACGGAGGGGCTTATACGCTAAACTGGCAAGACAGGACCTTTGTGGCATACTCCCTTCTGCTGTCAGGGAAGGGTAAATGGACATCAGAGGGAGGTACACGGGATGCAGAAATGGCAACACGCATCTCCGAAGAGAAGCATCACATCCAGGTTTAAGACAGGTCAAACAGGGAAATAGATTTTCAGATGATCTCTTCATACAGACTTCCAGGGGTGAAGGATGACTTGCTGTTGGCTATATGTAGACCCCAATTATGGAACAGGCTGAGGACTCAAGCCACAAACACTCAGCCCTCCAGATTTGGCTACTTAAAGATTCAACAGTATCTCCTTGGTTCTCTGAAAACTCTTGTGAAATACCCTGGTAAGACATCAGTCGTGCGGGATCGATGTACAAACCACGGGCGCTTCCTGCGGTCTGGCAGGGTTGTGATAAGGAAGTGCACGCCTTGGAAGAGGAGTCACTACTGAGCTGTAAGCATGCAGTAAAGGAAGGAGAGTCTAGAATTTCAGCCCAGACTGATACACGTATATACCCAATCTTCCTCTTCCTAGTCAGTGCAAGAAAACATCACAGTATTTCACAGCAAACCACTGAGATACCTTTCCTGGCAGTTTGGTGTGGTAGCGATGCCACTTCTTCCCTCACATAGCTTTCACACAAATCATCCCCTCAGAGGAATAGAAATTGGAACTTTGCTATTCACCATGAAGGCATTTCCATTTGTCTGCAGCTACTCCATCCCGGCCTGGAGGAAAAGAGAAAGGTGATAACCAAAGACAGGATGAGAAGAGGACATTTCTGGCAGGCCAGCATGAAGCTCTTGACCCGTGTGTCAGACTTACTGAGTAGATGGAGCTAGTGAAGTTGTTCTGCTGCTGTTGTGCCCAAAGACACATCCTTCACCTACCCTAGCTTTGGTACTTACATGGCATTTTGGTTCTTTACACAGCACTTGAAAGGCCTTCAAGGTACAGGAGAATCAAGTCTCCTTTGGTGTTTTGTACTTTTTGGGGAAGGTCAGGAGTTTCAAGCTTCTTATTACAGTGATGACAGCCATGGCTCCAGCTCTCAGCTACGAACTTCTACAACCATTTTTGTTACTTGGGAGCTACGAGGTTTCTTCACTGGCGCCCAGGACAGGTTGTCTGAAAAGGGTTTGATCAAAACCATGATGACTGGAACTCACTGGAGGTATTTTGCATGGAAGAACAGTAAGGGTGTGACCCTTCCCTCTTACAAGGTGACAGAGGGAGCCACTTGTAGATATTTTGGAGACAGATCACAAGTCTGAGGAACTAATATTGGAAGCGTGAAGGCTGAACTGGCAAAAAAAAAAAAGCAAGAGAGAGAGGAAGAATGTGGTTCTTTCTCAGCCCATGCCAATTTGGATTGATGGTAAGACCTCTGTAACGCCCCAGACTTCCAGTGCTATAGCTACGAGGAGAGCTCCACGTAAGCAGAGTAAGTGTACATATTGGGAGAGAACCTCAACATCACCTTAAATGTACCCTTAAGAGAAGCCAGCAATTTGGCTGGTGCTCTGGCCCATCACACAGCAGCAAGAGGACACAGCAGTTGTCTCCGGTACTGAATTCAAGAGTTCACAGAAGAGAAACCCATGACAGCTATTAAAAAGAAGACACCACCATCATGAGTAAGCCTCAGGCTGTTGGAGGACAGCAGACTGTGCTGGGGAGGTGTCATATAAGCTTACCTTATCCCCTTCCCTGGCATCCAGCTCTGGCCAGTCCCTGCATCCCTGAGACAGGGCTTGGAGCTACACAGACCTGGTCTAGGCCAGCAGGGCTGTTCTCACCACCTCACAACACTGCTGGACTCCTGACGGTGGTACCTCACTGCCCGGGGACTGGGAGGTGACTGACGTGATGCCAGAGAAAGGGCTCAAGGGAAGATGCAGGGCCTGACACACATTCCAAAAAAATGAGCGAAAACTGGAGTAAGAAAATCAATGGACAGATGGCCAAAGAGAGAGAGGGGAGAGCTGGCATGGCCTTTGGAAGGAGAAGTCTTACTTAAAAAGACACTAGGTTCTTCAGAGATGTCACCAATTCTAGCAAAAGGGAGATCTAGAGTCCAAAGGCATTCCCAAAAGACAACTGTCTCTTACCAAAACAAAAGAAGAAACTAGGGTGCTGTGGGATGAGTGACCCTCAGTAAGTGGTAAGGGAGGGAGAGGAGAGGTGGAAACATCTCCTGATGATCCTGTGTTACCCAGGGTCAAAGTGACAAAGGCTGTGGCAGAGCGTTATGATACTGACCAACCAAGTGACGGGAATGACAGGGACATTCGTTACAGGTAAACATAAGGAACTGCAGAGGGGAACAGCCTCTATACTTGAACTTTTTCCAGGATGGGCCTAGGATGTTCTTGGTATTGTTCAGAAATAGCACCTTAGAGCAGGACAGCTTCCCAGCAGACAAAACAGCTAATCAAATGTTAGCGATTGTTGAGAAAAAAACAGGAATAAAAGAGAGTCTAATTCTGCTTTGCTGCTCAAACTCCACATCCTGACTGTATGCAAGGGGAGGCTGGATCCCTCTTTCCAGAGGAACTCTAGTAGAGCTTAGGAAGACACAGAGGTGTGACGTGAATGATCAAAGGCACAGAACAGCTTCTGTATCGGAGACGACTCAACTGCCCGTTGTGCTGGGAAAAGGTACAGCGGATAGGGGCTATCACAGAGGGCTGTAAAACACAGGTGGCCTGTGGGGTGGATACGGATCCATCCTGCACCCTCTGTTCTTTATTTAGAACTACTGACACCACGTGAACTACTGGAAGGCAGTTTCAAAGCAAACCGAAGCAGGCGCCGACTCATAAAACAGGCAAACAAGCCGCAGAGCTCCCCGCTGCGAGCTGCCGTGGATGCTAAAACATACGCAAATTCGTAAGGCAAGAAAATACACAAAGGATTAAGTGACATCAAAACACCACACGTGTTCAGGAGTTTCGGAAGCCACAGACTTCCTGGGCCTGGGAAAGCACACAGGGACGCCCATCGCTTCTCTGCTCTCCTCCGGGTCTCCAGTACCGGCTATCGTCAGGCGAAGCTGGAAGCGTGCTGGTCCGACCCAGGCCCACTCGTGCATTCTGGTGGGATTTGGGGATGCTGGAACCCTTTTCTCACCAAGAAGTTCCCAGATGACTGCACCAGCCCCTTACCTGGACAGGTGCCACCCAGAACCGTCTTCCCTTCGTAGGCGTGGAGGTGGGAGAACCACAGCTCCTCCTGATCCGTGTGGGAGATCATCTCCAGCTCTGCTCCTGGGGGTCCTGCTGCGGGAAAAGAAACCGGGAATGTCACACGAGCTGACTGCTCCGGGACGAGGGGCTTCTGC